TTTAAATCTGTCGACTGGAAAGCTTTCGGTTAATTGACGTTTTGGTTGATCGATATTCGGATAATTGATGCTCTACTGTATTTCTAAAAGTTAGAACAAAATCATAGTCATTATTGGGTTTAAACTATTGACTTCATATAGCAACATATATTTTTGAATTGATTTTCTACAAAAGCTTTTAGATTCCAAAAAACTTTCAGTATGCGTTATATTAGGTAAGATGTGAACTCTGAATGAGGGATTTGCCACTCTTCTATATGAGCAAAACAGTCAAGATATTTGTCTTCAAAGGTCAATTTTTACCATGAACCAATATACTGCCTATTTTCGTCAGTCAAGGTCAGTGCCATAACTAGCCATTCCTGTGCCCTGTGTAAAAATTTGCATTTAGGCCCCTTAATTAATTAGGTTTGGGAAAATAATAAAACAAATACATGCATTTTGGGCACCCTTTCAAGTGGGCCCTGTGCGGGTGCACCTGTTGCACCTGCCTAGATATGGCACTGGTCAATGTGACTATTGCTCAGTTGAGCGATAGCTTACCATGAACCTGTATACTGCTGATTTGTCATGCTCTGCATCTGTATGCACGACTACATGCTCACATGACACTGTGCATGTAGTCGTGCACTTTGGTGCTAGCTGTCACTCACACTTCAGTGCTTACATGGGGTGAACCTCACACTTCCCAAAACTATATAACATCAAGTACTTCACAAACAGTCAAGTTGGCTACTCAAAGCTGGAATAGTCATGTGGGCTAAATAGTTTAATGTGATAGTCTTAGCAGAGCAACACAACTCTGATTGCGTATGACCTGGAGGAGGCTGATTTCATGGGCTCTATCTTATGAATGGTTATTAAATGTAGAGGTATGGTTCCTTTGATGTTTTCGCTCCTATGAGTATGGTCTACAGCTCTCTAAGATCCCAACCCTCTCATTCAGAGGTGTAATTGTACCTTTTATTAATGAAGTTATCAATCTATAGTAGTTTGATTGTTTTTATTTATTTATATTCTCATCACTTAAACAAAGGGATTGTCCATAAATTAAGTATTGCTGTTTTTATACTTTTCAACTATCATTCCTCCTTTAATACTCCTTAATGCTGTCACACATACCCACCCCAAAATTATATAATATGTATCCTTAATTAACCTATTTAGTTGTTTGTACTAAAGAATAGTTCACAGTATGTTATACTGAATGCTAAGTTATTAATAAAATAACATGGTAATATAAACATATGAGCCATTCACAAGCCAAATTGATTAACTCCACATTTCAAATTTTTTTAAATGTATAAGATAGCATATCTATGCTATCTTATACATTTTATATTTTTATACGTTGTTTTTGAAACTGTGTTTTGTGAATATATTGGACTTTGAACTCATATTTGCATTATAAATAAACACTTGGCTTTATTTCCATCATTTTTAGTTGATACATGACAACAGCAGCACGTTTNGAAGCTACTTCAGTATTCAATAAAAAGTTGTGTACAAACATAAATTATTATTATATTAATATTAGCTTATAATATTTCTGGATTTTTACAATCATTATTTATTTATACATAAACTTTGAACCTTAATGATTATCACTATAATTATATCCAATAATCTCTTACAATTATAATATTTTAAACCAGTTCTCACTAATTTTGATGCTTAAGTTTTTATTTATACAATTGTTATTTTTATTTTTAATAATCTCAACACTCTCTTTAAATTTTCTGTTATATTTTTTCTTTTCTTTATGTAAGATTTGTATGTTAGATTTATCTATGTTACAATCGTTTAGTACACAATGATCGTGGAGTACTGATTTTAATCGGTGCTACTTCAAATCGGACGTGTGTTCTTTAACTCTTATTTTTAGTTTGCGTTTCGTCTTGCCTATATAAAAACTGTTGTTTTTGAATGTACACGGTATTTTATACACAATATTTTTCGTTTCTTCTTTATCTATTTTTTGTTTTTTCATACTTTGTTTGGCTTTCAATCTGGAGAATAAATTACCATATTTTGGAGTGAGTTTCATGTTATTTTTCTTCATTTCTATATCTATTTGCTCGTACATATTTTTTATGTATGGAAAACCTGTATATTTTACTTTTGTTTTTTCATTGTTTGTTTTGGTAGCGTTATCTATTATTTGTTGCCATTTGTTAATTAATCTGATTGGATATTTATTTAAATTAAATTTTTCTTTAAATTACAATATTTATGTTTATTTTTCTTAATTTCGTTACTAGTTCTATTTTGTATTTTTGTATACTCCATATAAAAAACATTCTTTTTTATATACAAAGGTATATTAGATTCATATCTTATTGTAGTTTCAATCGAACATGGTTTCCTAAAAGGCTCAAATTCTAGCTTATTTTCTTTTCTTGTGATTACCACATCTAGGTACCGTATACCCCTTCGAAAATCCCCGGACGTCTGTCAGACGCCCTGCGTCAGTTTTTTCAGCGGCATTTTTTTCGATATTTTTCAAAAAATTTCAAAAAATTCAAGTTCTCCAATTTTTTTCAGCTGCAAAAAATGTAATAAATAATTTTCTTATTGCGCGCCAAGTTTTCTCGGGAAAAAAAATATAAAAAAAATGCCGGCGTCTCACAGAAGCCCTGCGACCCTTCTGCGGAAAAAATTCCCCAGAAAAACGCGATTGCGAGAATCTCTATTGTTGATCGCGACCATTGTGCGCATCTGTATTATATTCTAGTTTTTCAGCGATCGCAGCTTCGATTCGCTCTTTTGTAGGTCGATTGACTTTGTTTAAGCCAATACGTGTTTGGTCACCACCCCTGGGCCATAAATATTTCGGTAATTAGACTCCTCTGCCATTTACAGTAAATCAAACAGTTGGTAGAACACAATCAAAGGGAAACTCCTTCTAAAGTTTTATTGGGTATCTTCTGTCTTTGTTGACATTACTGTAACTAATCACAGACTTGTGAAAGGAAAAATTGCCGCGAAAAGTCCCGCCTCCAACCTTCGAAGTAAAATGTAAACAATCACAATAAATTCGCTTTTTAAATCGTTTTTTAGCTCTAAACAACTAATTTAACGTTTTTGACATTAAATTAGGCAATTCGACAATATTTAGGCATGTAAATATATTTTTAAAACTATCTAGCAATAAATATTCCCGGGAAACTCCACCTCCCTATAGTAAGTGTATGGAAGATGTTCTTGCTGTTAATTGGCATTAAAATCTTTATTT